AAAAAACATAAGCGACTCGAAGCAGAATTAGCATCTCATGAACCTGCTATACAATCAGTACAAGAAGCTGGAGAAAAATTAATGGATGTTTCTAACCTTGGAGTTCCAGAAATTGAACAGGTACATTTAAAAAAATTTTTTTAAAAGATTTTGTTAACATTTATTTTTATTTTAAGCGATTGAAATTGTTAAATCAAGCATGGGATGAGTTAAAACAAATGGCTTCAAACAGGGGGAAAAAACTAGATGAGTCGTTAACCTATCAACAATTTTTGGCCAAAGTAGAAGAAGAAGAAGCTTGGATCAGGTAAATTAATATAATATTTATAAATTACCTATGTAACTTAATGTATAAACTATTATTTATGTACATGTGTTTTGTAAATTATTTTATTTATTTGATTATGATTATTGCAGTGAAAAACATCAATTATTATCCGTTGAAGATTTCGGAGATACCATGGCTGCTGTACAAGGTCTTTTGAAAAAGCATGATGCATTTGAAACCGATTTTGCTGTTCATCGTGACCGTTGTGAACAAATAAGTCATGGAGGTATTGACCTTGCAGATTCAAAGAACCATCACGCAGATAGTATATTACAACGTTGCCAACAGCTTCAGGTATCAAGTTAACTTAAAATCTAATATTTAATATGGTTAATAAAATTGTGTTACTTCAATAGATTAAGTTGGACAATTTATCTGCATTGGCTGCTAAACGCAAGTCCAAGTTGATGGATAATTCTGCTTATTTACAATTTATGTGGAAAGCAGATGTTGTTGAATCATGGATTGCTGATAAAGAAACTCATGTCAGATCAGAAGAATATGGTAGAGATTTATCTACTGTTCAAACTTTACTTACAAAACAAGAAACATTTGATGCTGGTAAGGATACAATTGATTTATTTATGTCATTTATAAAATGTTACCAACATGAATAATTATAGTTAAAAAAAAAAAAAAAAAAATGTTATTAGGTCTTCATGCATTTGAACACGAAGGAATACAAAATATCACTGCTCTAAAGGATCAATTGATTACTGCTAATCATAATCAATCGGAAGCAATATTAAAACGACATGCCGATGTGATTGACAGGTATTAATTTATTATTTTATTAATTGTATAATAATGTATGGTATTGTGCATTATTTTTTTTATTATTTGATTTAACCTTAACACTCTTTTTTTTTTAGATGGCAAAAATTATTGGGAGATTCTGATGGGCGCAAACAGCAATTATTACGTATGCAAAACCAATTCCGACAAATTGAAGAACTGTACTTGACTTTTGCTAAAAAAGCTTCTGCTTTTAACTCATGGTTTGAAAATGCTGAAGAAGATTTAACAGACCCTGTGCGTTGTAATTCTATAGAGGAAATCAGAGCACTTCGTGAAGCACATGCACAATTCCAAGTAAGTAAATAATTAATAATAAAAAATTAATTTTATAGTTATTTTTTATATTAATTTATTTCATTAAATAGGCATCACTGACATCTGCTCAGTCAGATTTTGAAGCATTGGCCGCTCTTGATCATCAGATAAAAAGTTTTAATGTAGGTCCTAACCCATATACATGGTTCACCATGGAAGCTTTAGAAGATACTTGGCGTAACCTTCAAAAAATCATCAAGGAGCGAGATATTGAATTAACTAAAGAAGCCCAAAGACAAGATGAAAATGATACACTTAGAAAAGAATTCGCTAAACACGCTAACACTTTCCACCAATGGTTAACTGAAACTAGGTATACATTATAATTGGCTTATTACTTATTAGTTATTAATCATTAGTTTAAAAAAATAATTGATACATTTTTTATTCGTTTTTATTATAGAACATCAATGATGGAAGGATCTGGTTCTTTAGAACAACAATTGGAAGCCATTAAAGTAATTTTTAACATTAAGTATTTAATTTAATTATGTGTTTTATTTATTCAATTAAATTATTTAACAGCGTAAAGCAACTGAAGTACGTTCACGTCGTTCAGATTTGAAAAAAATTGAAGACCTTGGGGCTATTCTTGAAGAACATCTAATATTGGACAATAGGTACAATTTTTTTCTCAATTTTATATACAAAAAGATAAACTAATATTAATCAATCATTTATTAGGTATACGGAACATAGTACAGTTGGTTTAGCTCAGCAATGGGATCAACTAGATCAATTGGGTATGCGAATGCAACACAATCTAGAACAACAAATTCAGGCAAGAAATCAATCAGGTGTCAGTGAAGATGCGCTGAAAGAATTCTCAATGATGTTCAAACACTTTGACAAAGATCGGTCTGGACGTCTTGATAAAACTGAATTCAAATCCTGTCTTAGGGCTTTAGGTTATGATTTACCTATGGTAGAAGAAGGACAGCCTGATCCTGAATTTGAAGCGATATTAGGTATTTTATTTTTTTAAATGTTGTAATATTGTTTGTGCAGATATTTAATGTCTTTGTTTTTCTTTTTCTAGATGTGGTAGATCCAAATCGTGATGGTTATGTATCACTTCAGGAGTACATGGCATTCATGATCAGTAAAGAAACCGAAAATGTACAAAGTTCAGAGGAGATTGAGAATGCTTTCAGAGCAATCACTGCTGGTGATCGACCATATGTTACGAAAGAAGAACTGTATGCTGTAAGTATCAATACCTCTATTCATTATATAATATTTGATGGTTGTTTATACATATTTGTGTTTATTCATAGAACCTTACCAAGGATATGGCTGATTATTGTGTTGCTCGTATGAAACCATTTGTGGATACAAAAACTGAACGACCAATCACTGGGGCTCTTGATTATATAGAGTTTACTAAAACACTTTTCCAAAATTAAAGCATAATATTATATTGCACGCTACATCAGATTTTTTATAATAGATTTATTTACGTATACTTAACTATTTAGCTTAAGACTAAATCATGTGAGCAATTTATTAATAATATGCATTTTAAATGTTATATCAATACAATATTCTATTTTTATTTTAAGTGTCAAATTTTAATTGAGAGTGAATTTTTGTTTAATGTATTTTTGTTTAACATTAAAATGTTAACTATTAATGATTCTACCTACTACTAACATATGTTTTTTTTTTAATTTTATTATTATTTATTTATTTTATTATTTAAGAATAGAAAGAAATGATTTATTTATATTTATTAAATTGCTTATGCTTGTGAGTTTTATTCATGCAATTATGTTTTACCTAATTTATTTTTCACATTAAAGTCTCGCCAAAAAATTAAACGTGTTTTATTTATTTAACCTTAAGTACTCCTTTTAGTTTTTTAAATGTTAATAATTAATGACTTAAATCTTCTTTGGATAAATTACATTATAGTTCAACAAAAGTTTATCATCTCAAGTCATTAGCATCAAAGTATATTAAAGTTTCTTGAATCTTGGGTATATAGTTATACCTTAAACATCATTAATGCGGTGTTAAAATTTAACTGTTTTCAGAAACTCATACTTATTTTATTAATGTAATTTTTGTTTAACAAAGCAATATAGAAAATAAATATGAATTTTTGTATAATACCTAGTCATATATTATTGCAATTGTAGCTATTGCATTTTACTTTACTCGTCGTGTAGTTCCAACTTGACAAACATGAGATTAGCAATTAGGTCCATAGCAGTACTTTGTCTATACCACATGTATATTAAATGTTTACTACATAATAACACCTATATTTTATAGACATTGAGCAAGTATCGTTGTACACTTATCAGTTATAGTAATATTTCAAATTAAATAAACACTATAGTACTATTTTTTTTGTAAGACAAATGAGGATATCTTTTATATACCCTGTCACCATTTCAATTACAGCATAAAATATTTTTACATTTATATTCCATAAAATAACAGCCTTGCAAAGTGTTGATATGTCATAATTTATTCTATAAAACCATCAAATAGGTAAATACATCCATCAAGATAACCATGGTTAAAACTTATTCCTTGAGAATACCTACTTTTGTAGTAATATTCATATATCAATTAAAAAATACTTTTTTTTTTTTAATATATTATGTAACATAACTATTTAAATGTATAAAATTATAAAAGAACAATGATGAAATATAAAATGGGGGACCTACAAGAGTAGATCCAGGCCCATATTGAATCAGCAAACTACCGAGAAAATCTTGGTGGGACGCGTAAAATTTAGGCTGGTTATGATCATGATTAAATTTAAGCTAAATGTTTTTATTTTAAAATAAAGATATAATGTATTAGTATATACTGTTGCATATTTCTAGTTCTAAACTTACTTATTAATGATAAATCAAATTTAAGCATTTTAGAAATATATGTGTTCATATTTCTAATTAGTATTTTTTTTATAACCAGTATAAAGTTAAGTGAAAAAATATTGCCTCTGTCCGTGTAGGAGGTAACTTAATACAATGTATGTTGGATAATTTGTAAACTTGCTACAGAGAAACTATCATGAAATAATGCACATCAACTTCAAGTGAAAAAAAAAAAAATCTTATTTTGCTTGGAATGTAAATAAAATAAGAGACACATTTTTGTCAAATGGGCCCATAGGTGATTTCGAATATTGAATATTAAGGTTGAAGTCTTCATTGCTTATCATATAGTATAATACAATCAAATCTCTACCTATAAATGAACTGATAGAAATTTAAAATCTCGGTGAGTTGAAAAGTCTCAATTCGGCGCTAGGTAGATCCCCAGTGTGTTAATACTACTTTTAACACTAGCATATTTGTTGGGATTTGACTTGATACTGTCCTTAAATTGCACGATAAATAATATACAAGAATATCCTGGTAATATCAAACCTAAAAGTATAATAATCTAGACTGAAGGTATTTTATAAGCAAAGTAAAATAAATTATATATTATATTCTTTGCTTATTCAAAATCCTTTAATTATTTAAACAAAATATAATACATATAACTAGATTTTAGTTTACTTTATATTTTACATATTTATATACTTAAACAATAATACAATTATAAAGTATTAGCAAATCTATCGACAGATGTATGGTCATAAATATTATAAGACATTTATCGCTTATTGGTAATATTGTCTAATGAATTTATCAAATATTCTGCTATACTTTTGTAAACTTTAACCTAAAAATTAAAATATAAAATACAATAAATATTTCTAACAAAAATTTTTTTTATAATTTAAATTACTTGTGAGGATTCTGGATGAGTGATGACAATAGGCTGACCAGAATCACAACCATTAGTTATAATAGGATCCAAAGGTATAGAAAATAATGTATCTATTTCTGAAAATAATATTAAACATTACCATTCAATAAATTACCAATAAAATAACTAAATACTTTCTTGTGTGGCTAACTCTTCAACATTATTTCCAAAAATAAAATTGTCATGCGAACATTTTGAACATTTCATAGTACTCATATTTTGTACTATTCCTAATATAGGAATGTTTAATTTTTTAAACATTGTTATACCTCTTCTGGTCACACCAAGAGCAGCCTTTTGACCAGTAGTAACAATTAAAACACCTACAATTCATAATTTAGTTTTTAAGATATTTATAATGATTTATAAATATCTAATATTATTTTATTACCACTTATTGGAAGATTTTGAGCAAGTGATAAGTGTGTATCTCCAGTTCCTGGAGGTGTATCCACAATAAGGTAATCTGTATGGTTCCAGGACACACCTCTAATTAATTTATCTATAGCTCCCATAACCATAAGTCCTCTCCAGATGGCTGCTGATTGATCAGTTATTAAGTTACCCATTGACATGCTATAATAGAAAGATTAAATAAGACTTCAAAAAATAAATAAACTTGAAATAATTAATTTACCACTTAACCCCATAGTTAATGAGAGGTACCATAAGGTTATCTATAATTTATAAATAAAATTTAATTAATTTAAATTTAATATTTTATTTAATTAAAGTACAAATAGTAACAACCTTAGGCCTTACCATTATTAATTAAAGGAGTTTCATATAAATTCATCATTAATGGTATAGATGGACCGAATACATCAGCATCTAATAATCCGACCTCTTTGTTAGGTGCAACACATTTTATAGCTGTTGCTAGATTTACTGTACAATATAAATTTATCTTTATTATACTTAAAGTATTATATGTTTTACACAGTTAAATTTCCAGCATAAATTCAAATACATTAGTTACCAGCTGTTGTTGATTTGCCAACACCTCCTTTTCCAGATGCTACCAATATTATGTGGTTCACACCATTAATTGGATGTTTTTGAGGTAACTTTTTTCTCATGAGTTCTGCTTGTTTTTTAGTTAATTGTGATAAATGTTTTACACATGAACATTTCAATTGATTCTGGAAAATATAGCCATATACCAAATTGAGTATACAAAAATTAAAAGAAAAAAAATTCCTCACATTTATCAAAGGATAAAGCCGGTTAATTGTAGATAATGAACTCATAATAAACATCATGAAATATAATATTCTATATTGACAAATTAATTATACAATTCCTGTTAAATTTCAAATATCAATAATCAAATTCTGCAAATATTTTCGATTTTGAATATCAAATTGATTACCATATTATATCTTTGAGTCATGACATCACAGCTTTAGATAGTACCTATCAAAAACCATGATAAAAATATATAAATATCTCGCCGATAGATATAAATAATATAATAATAAACAAATAGTTAAAATAAAGTCAAATGACAAATAGTCAATACACCATTTACAAAGACAAACCCTTGCGTTATGTTAGCGTCAGCGACTCGGCGTACACTCTACACAATACTAACGTAAAAAGTTGATTAAAAAATTAACAAATAACAAATTGTCTTTAAATTTTGGAAGAATTATTTAGTAGAACAAGAAGTAGTAATCCCAGAAACTATTGAAAAATTTAATAGATTAAGAAGTTGTGATCCAAATTGCTCCCATCACTAAGTGCTAACCTAAGAACATTTATTACATTTAGTATTTACTGTTGTTTATATACCAATCAAATTTTTCAATAGTTTAGTGCGCCAGATAATCTAATTCATGATTAACTCTTTAACAGTAGTCTATCTAATGCCGTGGTCCGTGGATGCCGGATGATTATTTTTTTTATAGTGTTTCTGGTACCTTTAATAATACATTTTTAATACAAATCTCTTATCGAATCATTTTGACGATGAATGTCATGTTATCACGTATTAGTAAACGGTCGGCAATACGTTTCCTTTCGTTACGTCGGTGAAAACAGTCTTATCAGTTATCACTATAATTATTATTTTTTGATCTTTTTGAACTTCAATCAATAATCACTTAACTTTCAACTATTTAACCCAAAACCAGCATTCAATATTTATAATTTCTGACTAACCAAATTAATTAATATATTTACTAATAATGTCATGTTTAATAAATAAATTTGGATCAAATTGGAAACCAAATTATCTATTATTCAAGGTAAGTTTTTAAAATCATTAAATAAAATAAATATAAGAAATATTAAAAAAAAAAAATTAGAGTTGTAGATCTAAATCAACAACAGTTAGAGATAAATTCCGTGAAATAATTCAAAGTGGACCGGATCTGACAGAGTTTATAAATGAAACACCTATAACATCAGAAAACTATAATGGCAAATTACGACGAGCTAAAGGTGAAGAAGATAGACTGCGTTTGCCTCCTTGGCTTAAAACTAAAATACCAACCGGGGAAAATTTTTCAAAAATTAAAGAGCAACTACGTGATTTGAACTTGCATACTGTTTGTGAAGAAGCTCGATGCCCAAATATTGGTGAATGTTGGGGTGGAGGTAAACATGGCACAGCTACTGCAACAATTATGGTAACATAAAAAAAACATATTTTGTGTTTTATTGTAAAATTATTAATTAAATATTTTTTAGTTACTGGGTGACACTTGTACTCGGGGTTGTCGATTTTGTTCTGTTAAGACATCTAGAGCCCCACCACCTCCTGATCCCAATGAACCAGTTAATACAGCAAAAGCTATAGCATCATGGGGACTTGATTATATTGTGTTAACATCAGTTGATCGTGATGGTATATTAAGATAATGATAAAATTATATCTATTGATTGATAAATAGTAAATTGTAAAATGTTTTTTTAGACTTGGAAGATGGTGGATCTGCTCATTTTGCTGAAACTGTAGTTGAAATAAAGCATCGGTTTGTTAAATTATTTATATATTTTTTTTATTTCTGATCTATTTACATCTATATAATTTATTATTTTTCTTTTTAGTAATCCAAATATAATGATTGAGTGCTTGGTACCAGATTTTCGCGGATCAGCAGAAAATGTAAAAACTATTGTAGATTCCGGGTTAGATGTTTTTGCTCATAATATTGAAACTGTTGAAAAGCTAACACCTTTTGTTAGAGATCGAAGAGCAAATTATAGGTAAATAAAATATATGTTATCATAATTCATCATTTTTATTAATACTTCAAGAGTTATTAAATCATATGATCATATTTTCTTAACTATGTAATATGGCACTAACATTGATGGTTGATCCATAAAAAGAAACGCATTAAAGTTTAATTAATAAAAGATTTAAGAATACATTGACTTTGCTTAGTAATTGTATGTAAGTTGCTATGTACAATACATCAATCCTAAGCAAGTTTTAAGTATGTAAAGTATTATAGTTCCAAAATACTCATTATATAGATATATATCTTATTAAAAATTAAAATTTTGTAAAAAAATCCAGCATACAAGTATAATATGCATTTCTTACATATGGGTCTGATAGTAAGTCAATTAAATTTAATATTATGAAAATATTATGCTAATATTGCTTTTTTATTAACTTATTGCTATTTTTGTGTTGTTAGCTTTAATTGAGTTATTGTTGAATTTAAAAATAAGGATATAATCAAAGGAATCTCACAAGCTTTTATTGAATATTTTGTGTAATTAGTATTTATTTTAAAATAAAAAAAAAAAAACATCAAGAGTCTTTGAAGTGCTATTATAGATAATAGTCTTCAATCTTACCTTTAAATTTTAAAATAGGTTGATTCATTTTAATATAAAACTTAATCTAAAAGTAAAAAATTGGTTCTATTGAACACAAATTTTTTGTTTTATATTTTTATGACTAAACAACACACAATAAGGGTGTAAAATTCTCTTAATTCTCAACTATTTCATGAATCATTTTAAAAGCCATAATTCATAAGTTATTAATACTTTACCCTCTTTTTTTTAAAAATAATTCAACATTTAAATATTATGTTTATTATATAAGATTATAATCTTTAATCTTTTAAATTATAGACAAACAATGTCAGTGTTACGTAAAGCTAAAGAATTTAATCCACAACTTATAACAAAATCATCCATAATGCTGGGTCTTGGTGAAACTGATGAGCAAATTGAACAAACATTTAAAGGTAATTATTACATATTGCAAATGTAGTATAAGTGTTTGCCTTTTTTTACTACTTAAAAACATTTATTTTGTAGATCTAAAAGAATCATTGGTGGATTGTGTTACACTTGGACAATACATGCAACCTACAAAACGACATTTAAAAGTAGTAGAATATGTTACTCCTGAGAAGTTTAAACATTGGCAAGGAGTTGGTGATGAGATGGGATTTTTATACACAGCAAGTGGTCCACTTGTAAGAAGTTCATACAAAGCTGGTGAATTCTTTATTGGCAATGTATTAAAAAAACGTAAAGAAGCACAGAAGTCTAAAAATTCTGAGACCACTTAAATGTATTGTTGTTGTTATTGTTGTTTATTAAACTTTTATTATGTTATTATTAAAATATAAAATTTAATTTCATATATTAAGTACTATTCTAAAAACCTTCTGGAAAAAGTTTAGATGTATAAGTAGTTTTAAAAATATTATAACTGGAAACTTTAAGTAAATAGAGTTCAAAAACTATGGTTCGAGTTTACATATTTAAAGGAGTAATTTTTTCACACATACACATTAAAATATAAATCTTCAATATTGATAATAAAACATTACAAATTGATAGTACATTGAAGTTGCCAATATTTTTTATTTATTCAATCTGCTGACATTTAATCAAGGTATACTTATCAGATGTATGATTAGTTGATTAATTGATGTTAGTAAATTAGAAATAGATTACTTATGAGTGGATAATGCAAGTTCACTATCATCAGCATCTTTGTAATTTTTAGTTGTATGTTGTATCTATTATCATTTATCACTGAATGTAAAATGAAGTTCGTATCCATTTTAATATTTAAAAATTTACCCATTCTTGATATTTTTCTATTCTAAATATTAACTGTGTTATACAAAACCAGATTATATTAAAATTGGTTCATTTAAGAAATTAAGTATTCTATTTTATTTTCACAATTTAGATATAAAACACAAAAATGCAATTTAAGATAAATATTTTATAACTCTTAAAAATATTTTATCATAATGCAAAGAAACATACAGGCTCTGCTATAAAATTATATCTATCTGGTTATTTTTTTAATATCTATAATATAAAATAAAATAAATTATTATTGAATATGGATAAATTGGTGTATGAATACTTTTTAGAGAAAATTAATTTAGTTATTTGAACTACTAATCTTTTAGTTATTTACTTTGTAGAAATTGGTTGACGGTTTTCATTGGACATCGATATCTCAGGAAATCCTTTGTTCTTTTTGTAGGTCATGGGCTAATAATAGAAAAATAACCCTAGAATTAATAATATAGTCAACATTTGACACAAAATTAGAAAAATTGGAATAACCAAAGTTCTCTTTAAAAGTAACAGGTAACAAATTAACTACTGGTAGTTGGTAGTTGATACCCAAGTTCAACTGTTGTGTAATGTGTAATAATATGGTATTAAGAAACTTAGTTACTTTACGCTCCGCTATAACTCATAAATCGATAACGTCAACATAACCGTGTAATTTTATAGGTTTAATGTTTATTATATTTATTTTGTTGTTGAACGTCGATAACATGATAATTGATAAATCGTTATATCTCCTCTGAACCTGAACTAAATGTGTTTGAATCAAAAGTGCTATACCACTTTACTAGTCATTTAAAAGATAATTATGAACAGCACGAACACGAAACAACGTTAAATTGGCAATTCAACTGACGTAGTGATGTAACACTAAACAGTAATAATTAATAATTAATAATTAGGGATTATAAATAGTAATGGTCAATAGACAAGTTAATCGAGCAAGTGCAACTGCGCGTGTAAGTTAGTCGCACACTTCTTAATTCTTATAGCCAATGCTGCTTACATATTTTAAGTTAGCTTGTTACAATGTTACAGTGTTTTCGTAGTACAAAATAATACTTTTTTAAAGATACAGCAATATACTATCAAAAAAATAATACTACAGTACTAATACTAATAATTAGTAATGTTCCTTGTTAGTAGTCACTAGTTACTACTCATAAGTTTGAACTTTGTACATAGTAGTTATAGTACAATAAATATTTACATTACATTTTATTAGTTTATCATAATCAAAAAGGTTTATAGCGACAACACGATATAAATTGCACGCATACGCAATAAATTTTGCCAAGAGCGCTCAGTTGCTCAGCTATGTTGCCTTCAAACATTCAGACTTCAGTGTTTACTGTTTAATGTTTATACAATACCTCACTACCTCAGACTATAATTAATAATTATATAATATTATGATCTAAGCAACGCTATAGGTAATAGCTAATATATGTGTATGTGAATGCATAATATTGTACTTATATATGTAATATGTATATACACTATATACTCTGGAATGAGGACAGGACGGTAGTTGAAGCATCACTGTTAACAGTGCGTGCAACAAAACAGTGATATTGTTTTTAACACGGCCGTAGAGCGCTGTCAATGTTTATACTTCTCAGTCTCGATACCTTTGTAGATTTTTGATTAGACATGTATGTTGTCGGTAGTCTGAGTCCGACTGATATTTAATTCTAATTCTAGTTTCTCTCG